AAACTGGTAGTGTCTTGTCTGGTTATATGAGGTAATAACTTATCCAAAAGAAATAAGAAAAATCAATACAATACATACCTATATATATATATATATAGATATGTTAAAGTTTGTGTATGCATATATATATATGCATACACAAACAAACAAACAAACACAAACTTTAACAAAGAAGAAATTTAAAAAAATTTTTCAAAATGTAGAAAATATTCTGACTATATAATGATACAATAATACAATACTATATAAATTATTGACATCAATCAATATAAATTGCAGAGCAAGATAACCTAATCTCCTAATAAAAACAATCATCACAAGTAAATTACAAAATTTACTAAAATTAATTTAGTAAAAGCTTTCAAATTATTTCCTAACTATATATATAGTTAGGAAATAGATCTTGCAAAAAGATCTTGATAATAAAGCTACAAAGTGCACACTCATTTGATTCTAAAAACTGTACACAAAATTAATAAATGCCTGAAGTTTAGAAAAAAAAACTATTTGAATAAGTTTTATATTGTTATAACAATAAATTACATCATATAACAGAAAAAACAATAAAGTTTTTTCAGTTTCATTTCTTACAAATAAATCTGTGTTTATCAGTTAACTATAATTCAACTTTTTGACTTGTTTCGTGGAAATAACACTTTAGCACAACAGGTCTTGAAATTACATTACATTTTCAATATAAAAGGATATAAAACAACTAATCTAATACTGCTATATATCATTTAATGATTAATTTACAGAGAAAAATGTATAAAAAACTTTAACTTCCATTATTGAAATATTCTGAATTAAAATTGTTTTAAAAAACTTTTCACTAATATGATATACTGAATAAATCTCATAATAAAAGTTTTGAATATTTCAAATTTTATAATTACAAAGAAATTTTAAAATTTGCTATTGAAAAAATATCTAATTTTATTTTAGCAGTTTTTATTATTTTTTTCCATCTAGTTTTACTTTTTTTGTTTAAAATAGCTTTCCAGCTATTTTAAAACAATATTTACAAAAGATATGATAATAAGACCAATGATAAAATAATTTATTATAATAATTAAAAATGATAATTAAGAAAAAAAAATGACACTATTGTCATTTATTCATTTTATTATATTAAGCATTTAAACAGAACTATATAGATTAATTTTATTAAAATTTTAGATACAGCTAATGTAACCATTTCAAGAAAATTGAGATCAGTAACTGGTATTATTACTACATTGCAATTGCAATCTTTCTAATTACAATTATAAAAACCTAAAAACATAGTTGAAAATTGACATTTGGTTTATTTTTTATAATAATTCAGTAATATTGTATTCAACACATTCAATAAACTTTGTTTATTTCTAAAGGAAATGTAATTTAAAATGTTAAATATTTTTATATTATTCCTGAAAATGTAAATTTAATCTTAATTTACACAAATTTTAAAAATTTTCATATATTGAACTTATCATCTTTACTACTAATTATTATTGAAAGTGCTATAATAGGAATTTTACATTTAAAGGACACACTGAAACAAATATATTGTAATAAAATGTATTAATGTTTTTTCACTATTAAATAAACAGTATTTTATAAAATTTTAACTTAAAACATATAATGCTGTTGATTTTTAACAAGAAAAATATATGAATAAATTCAATAGGCTTACTACAAGACTGCTTAAATCTTGGTATTCTAATTGAAAAGTTATTTATTATATAATATCTTTCATATTCAATACATATTTACATGCACTTTTTCCTGCTCTCTAATGTTGATCTTTCATCTAATAGCAACTTCATATTTTAACAATATACAGGGTGCCTATAATTAAAGTTCACCAATTCTGATCAGTTTACTTATCAGAAGATTACCAAATTTTCAGTCATCTTAATTTTTTTGGCCCATAGGAGCAAAAAATTTAGTTTCAAATGTCACCACCAGGGGTAATTTACACTTATTCTGAACATCACATAATAGTACAGAAGTGATTTGTGTAATCAGGGAAAAACATGTTCAATAAGCTAGCTAACATTCTCTGCTACCACCTGAAAGCTTACAATAGCATTCTCAATTGTTGACCACAGTGTATCCTTTGAAACACGCATGTGGTGTAATATGCTTTCTTTAAGAGCTGCCAAAAATATCAAATGTCATGGTAGACCAGTTCTTTGAGATAGTCCCAAAACCAAAAACTGCATGGATTCAGGTCTGGAAACAATGTGGCAACATGCATTCATCTTTCAAGTTTCACAGCCAATGATCCCATTTGTTAAAATTTCACAATAATTTTTATAGTCCGTTAGCAATGATTGGACCAGTTCAAAGCCTCCCTTCAATGATTGAAGCCTCTGCAAAGCTTTTGGTGCTGAATTATCATTTTGATAAAATAGTTTCACCACTAAAGAACATTCTTGTAAAGTTAATGTCCTTTCAATGGTGATATAACAAAAACAGTTCTATGGATGATGTTTAAATACCCTGTAATAGTGTGCAAGCAGACAAATGATGTAATGAAAATTAGCATGTCTCATTACTTACACATGGAGAAATGACACCTAATGGTAACATTTGAAACTAAATGTTTTTTGCCCTTACTACTACTCAGAATAGGTGAATTTTAATTATAGACAATCTATGTATATGTATGTATGTATGTATGTATGTATGTATGTATGTATGTATGTATGTATGTATGTATGTATGTATGTATGTATTCCCATTTTACACAGGTTTTACTGTAAATGTATATACAGACACATTCAGTAAAACCTGCCTAAAATGGAAACCTACCTAAACAAAACATTTCAGAACAATGATTTTGTTTTCACTTTTTTTTATACCAGACAGTTCTAACAGCAATCAAATGCTTTCATATAGCCTGCTGAGGTCAGGATTCTTGACAAGATTTGAGGCAGTTCTATTCCTTTGCTTTATGTTCAATTGTTTTTTTGCTTGTTTCTTCAATAATCAATCCATCTTTCATCAATGTCAGTGTGGTTCAACCTGTCAGAGATAGTTTGTGCCAAATTATAGTTATTTAAGATGGTCATCTTAGCATCTGATATGTTTCTTATAATGGCTAACATCTTTTATATATTTTTTTATGAATATTTCATTGGTTAGGGTTTATGGACAAGTTGAACTAATGTAAAATTCCCATGAAACAGTTAATTTTACCAACACTAGTAGCATTATGAAAGGTGAAACACAATCTAAATTACAGAGATTGAAGTTAACAATTATTAGTGTATTAAAATTCTTGAGCAGTCAGATCACAAAATAACTTAGTTTCTAATAATGTAATGTAATTAAAATTTCTGATAGCAGAATGAGATACTGGTTCTTGATTCTCTAATTGGCAACAAGCCAATTAGATTTTTATCATGTGAGCTAATAAGGATCACATTTAAAACTCAGTGTCTTAGTACCTAGCATAAATTCTCAGAAACAAAAACATTTTAAAATCTCAATTCTTGCATTAAAATTCTTCCATCTTTACTAGAAGAAATCACATTGAATTAAACCAAGTAATAAAATGTTACGTACATTTGTAATAAAAGTCATTTTACTATAAAATGTATATAATTGTGACATTTATCTGGTATAATTTAAATATAAAAAAAATATTAAAACCTACTCAAAACAAAAAAATTCAGTACCATGTGGTTTACAAGTTTTACTGTATTCTGTAAAAATCATTAATATGAAATTATGCATCAGATTTATAAATTTTGTAATCTTTACAATTTGTGGGTTTTCATTCGTATAACAAGTTTTATTGTGACTAATTTTTAATTTAAATCAATCCCAGCAAAAATTTGAATTCCATTTAGAAATTCTTCAAGTATATCAGTCATAAGCATTACATGCCAATTTTAAATCATTAAATTATTCATAATAAACGGTATAAACTTAATATTAAATTCATAAAAATATTATAAGTTACTTAAACAAAATAATTCCTAAGAGAAGAAAAACAAGTATAAAAATTATTTAAAAATAAAATTGTTTTAAATCTTTATAGAAATCACCAAGATGATTATCTGAAAAATTTAATTTAAAAATTATATTTTATTGTAAAAATATTTTAAATTTTTAGATTTTATTAAATATTCAATGGTGGTGATGATGGAAATTTTTTTATACTGCTGCTTTTTTTTTTAAACTATTTAAAATGTTTGTCACTTCCATACAACATTCATTCTTCATATTATATATAATAAAGAAAATGGTTCATTCTTAGTTTCAAAATTTTTAAATAGTTACAGTAATTTAATAATTTAAAACAAATTATTTTGTTTGAGTTCACAAATCTTACCAGATATTGAAATTGCATATCAAAACTTTATATATTTTACTATGAACTATACACCATTAAATTTATAATGCTAAGAAAGATATATCATTTTTAAATTTTCCTGATGAATGTCATACAATTTATTAAAATTCAAAACATATTTATCTGAAAAAATAAATTATTTATGAAATTATTTTTAAATTACAAACTGTAAATTCTTACATATTCCATACACTTACATGTATGTGTAATGTATGTATATATACATATACACGCTAACACACACACTGATCTATATACACATCAGACAAACACACAAACAATCATCATACTTTTAGACAGGAAAGTTAACATTTCTGGAAAAATGTGACTAGTCTAACAAGTCATTCAAAAATCAATTACCATTCATCAAGAATCATTAAAAATTCATCTATGTAAGACAAGTTTTAATGTATCAGCAAAATAAAATTTTTGCCTATACATTAAGCATATTTATGAAAAGTTTAATAGTTACGAATAATCATTATTTGCTCTAGAAATGAATTTATATTATGGCAAATTGGATTACTACTAAATTGATTGATTTAATAAACCTAAAACAATTATTCTACACATTAAATGCATTAAAATAATGCAATGATACATAAAAACATTTATCGATTAATTTCTCTTAACATTCTAATTTCATTACGTGAAAGTGGATTTTGATATGAACTGTCTCTAATTATATTATGATAACCACCATTCACAGTAATTGAAGCCGTACTTTTTGCTGTGTAGACACTACTTGGATTTGGATGAGTCAATTTTTGATCCACAACAGGCATCGTATTAGTAGACATTCCATTATGATGCTGAAAATACATATATTGCAATTAAAATCTGACTTTATTGTTATAATTTTAGTCATGTAAGGAACAATTTTCAATGTTACAAATTTCAAAAGCTTTATTATTAATTTATTTGTTAAATGATTAAAAAATAGAGCTGAAAAATTTTAAAAAATCAGAAAATTCTATGTTATTTTTTGGGTAATATTATAAATAATGTATAATACATACATCATAATTCTGCAAATGTCTGATTAGCAGATAAATGATTACATATAAAGCCATGCAAATGAAGAAACACACATTCAGAAGTTTCACCAACACTATTAAATTAGTATTGGATAAATCATATTATTAAAAGTAACATTTTTTATACAATGTATTTGAAGATTTTAAAGCCAATATGTATTTAATAATCTGGTTTGCACACCAAATGTAAGTTTATCTTATTGTTTATACTTTAATGCTTAGTTTGTGTTATTAAAATCAGCAATTTATTTGTACTTTTGTTTTGTACAGTTTAATATGTAACAACTGTGTAACAACTAAAGAGATACAATATGAGTCTGAAATGCATTTTGTTAAATGTACTTTAAAAAATTTATATATATATATTGTGAATTTCACTAATCTA